TCCGCCTCCCCCTCCTCGTCCCCTTATCCTCCACCTCCCTCTCCTCCTCGGCACGCGCGTGCAAGAATCCCCACGGTCCGAGCGCGCTCCGCCGTGCGCGACGTCCGCCCCCCCTCCCCGCGCCCCTCCCTTCTCGGGGGGTCCCCAGGCGGCGTGGTGGCCACACCGTGCGGTTCGGATTCGGGGTCACCGCTCCTCCTCCTCCTCCTCCTCCTCACTTCCTCCTCCTCCTCCTGCTCCTCCTCCTCCTCCTCCTCCTCCTCCTCCTCCTCCTCCTCCTCCTCCTCCTCCACGGTTTTGGGACTCAAGTCCCTCTCCGAGGATGTCTCGGGCGGCAGGGGCCTCCAGGGTCCCAATGACCGTGCGGCGACGGACCGTGCGGTGAGGGCTCTGGGGGTTCCGAGGTCACCGCACGGTGCGCCGCCGCACCGCTCCAGGACTCCAGATTCCTTCCGTCCTCTGTGCCCCCTGCGGCTCCGATGCATTCCTCGGCTGCCTCTACCGCTCATTGGACTCAGGCTGCTGCTGACCAAGAGGTGTGTCTGATGAGGCCGGCGCCCGCGGCGCGCCTCCTCGTGCCAGCGCTCGAGCTCGGCAGCACCTGCACAGTAGCTTGGGCACCTCGCTCGTGTCCGCAGCTGTGGGGGCCAATGAGGTATCAGGAAGAAGGTGGGAGGAGGAGGAGGAGGAGGAGGAGGAGGAGGAGGAGGAGGAGGAGGAGGAGGAGGAGGAGGAGGAGGGGAGGAGTTGGGAGGAGGAGGTGGAGGAGGAGGAGGAGGAGGAGGAGGAGGAGGAGAAGGGAGGAGGAGGAGGAGGATAGGAGAAGAGGAGGAGGAGGAGGAGGAGGAGGGGGAGGGGAGGAGGAGGAGGAGGAGGAGGAGGAAGAAGAGAGGAGAGGGCGGAGACAGAGATCGACAGCAACGGGTGCGAAAGAGAAGGGTCAGCGGAGAGCAGCACCAGCACCAGCAGCTGCAGCAGAAGCAGGAGAAGGCAGGAGGAGCAGAGAGGTGGGGTGTTTCTGTTCAGACGTTGCTTCTGACTGTGTGCGCGTCGCTGTTGACGGCGCTCCACCACACAAATGATAATTAGGGGGGGAGGGCGGAGGACAATGCATGCAGAGGGGGAGTAATTGGAGGAGGCGGCGGGACGAGGAGCATTGAGGCCTCTGGCTCTTCGCCTCCCTCTCCTCCGCCCCCTTCTTCCCCCCTCCCCCTTCCCTGTTCGTCCCCGTAACCTCCCTCCTTCTCCCCATTTCACCTCCTCCTCCTCCTCTTTCTCCTCTTTCTCCTCCTCCTCTTTCTCCTCTTTCTCCTCCTCCTCCTCCTCTTTCTCCTCCTCCTCCTCTTCCCCCCTTCTCCTCCTCTTTCTCCTCTCCTCTCCTCTCTCTCCTGCTCCTTTTCCTCCTCTCCTCTTCCCCTCCTCCTCCTCCTCCTCCTCCTCCTCCTCCTCCTCCTCCTCCCCCTGCCCCTCCTCCTCCTCCTCCTCCTCCTCCTCCTCCTCCGCTTCTCCCCTTCTCCCACTCCTCGTCGTCCTCCGCCGACGCCTCGTGAGCTGACGCACGGCATCTTGAGAACCTGCCCCGAGGACGAAAACCTCGAGGCGGCTCCGGGCGAGAAGCCCAAGGTCCGGCCGACGAAATCTGACCCTTCCCCGGCCCCCCCCCTAAGAGACCGAGGTCAGTGAAGACGGGGGTCAGCCAGGGCACCAGACCCTGCAGGATCCTGCGACGACCCCCCCTGGCTGACCCGGGTTAGCGAGCCGCTCGCGGCCGCGAGGCGGCCGCGCCTATTGGCTGACCCGGGTTTGCGAAGACCCGCGTTGCAGCTTTTTTTCTTGCATTGCAGTTTTTTGGCTTCCTGCTGACCCGGGTCTGGATTGACCCGGGTCAGAAGATCCCCGAGAGGATCTTACGTGTCCAGTCCCAGTGCAGTGGAAGGGTGGTGTGGTGAGTCGGAGGGAGCAGAGAGAGAGTGAGTGAGGGAAAGGGAAAGAAACAGAGACAGAGAGTGAAGAGAGAGGAGGAGATGAGAGAGGAGAAGGTCAATATTGGCGCGCTCGTGCCATGTCCGACGCATTGATCGCTTACTCCGATCCCTTACCATGGAGTGCAGCCGGAGGAGGAGGAGGAGGGGGAGGAGGAGGAGGAGGAGGAGGAGGAGGAGGAGGAGGCGGAGGAGGAGGAGGAGGAGGCGGAGGAGGAGCAGGAGGAGGAGGAGGAGGAGGAGGAGGAGGAGGGAGGAGGCAGAGGCCAGCGGTGCGGGCTGTGGCGACGCTCCGCTGCACGGAGGGTCCGTGGAAGGTGACAAACGTTGCAGCCTGGGCGCAGCTTCTGACGGCCTGGCAGCCCCAAGATTGAACATCATGTTGCACAACATAACTTGCACAACGTAGATTGCACAACACTGGTCGCTTCACATAGATTGCACGGCCCATATTTCTTCACAATGGTAGCGCCATGGATACGGCTAAGACACACTGGTTGGGGTCCTCGCTGGCTAACCTGTAAACAGGTATCTGCGTATCTGCGGGACTGCATTGGCGTTTCGCGCCACACCTTTGCCCTTGAAGTTGGGGCGATCCTGCGCAAAAGAACGAGATACGCCATGGGCGGCGGCAGAAGAGGACAGCACCAGCACACCAGGGAGGCATGAGGGGGGGGGGAACAGGAATCACGCTCCCCAGGCAGTGCCTGCACTTCGGGTCATTGTGAAGGGGAAGAAGAAGGGGAAGGAGAGGGGCGGGCATTCGGGGAAGGGGGAGGGGGCAGGCGCAGGGGGGGAGGGGAAGGGGCAAGCTATGTGCGCTCGCGTCATATCTGACGTCCTACCCCTCCCTCCCATCCTTTACCATGGCGCTGATTTTCTCTATCCGCGGACGCGTGTCGTAGCGGACCTGTGGCTCCGCGCGCGCGTGCGTAGTGGGTGGGGATGCGCGTGCGTGCGCGCGTGTGTGCGTGGTTGTGGTGGCGGTGGTGGTGGTGGTGGTGTTGGTGTTGTTGGTGGTGGTGGTGGTGGTGGTGGTGGTGGTGGTGGTGGTGGTGTGTGTGTGTGTGCGTGTGTGCGCGTGTGCTGTGGTGTGACGTGGTGTGGCGTCTTGGTGCTTTTGGTGGTTTGGTGGTGGCCAGGTGCGTGCGCGCGCGTGATGGCGGTGGTGGTGGTGTTGGTGGTGGTGTTGGTGTGGTGGTTGGTGTGTGTGTGTGTGTGCGGTGTGCGCGTGGTGTGTGTGTGTGTGTGTTGTGTGGTGTGGTGTGTGTGTGTTGTGTGTGTGTGTGTGTGTGTGTGCGTGTGTATGTGTGTATGTGTGTGTTTGTGTATGTGTGTGTGTGTGTGTGCGTGCGAGCGTGCGTGCGTGCGTGCGTGCTTGCGTGCGTGCGTGCGTGCCTGTGTGCCTGTGTGCGCGCGCCTTTGATGTGGTGTGACGCGGTGTAGCGTGGTGGTGGTGGGTGGGGTAGTGGGGTGGTGGTGGCGGTGCGCGGTGGTGGTGCTCGTGCGTGCGTGCGTGCGTGCGTGCGAGCGTTGGTGGGTGGAAGTGGCGGTTGGCGGGGCGGGGCGCGGTGCGCTGGTGGCGGGCGGATGGGCGCGCGAGAAGGAGGCCCGCGCTGGGGCGAGAACGCCATCCTGAACGACGGAGGCAAAACACCGATCCGAAAATGAGGCCCACGCTGCAGCGGGAGCACGATTCGGAACAAGCGGAAGCCCGAAAACAAACCCAAGCGAAAACCCAATTCCAGGAAATCCTGTGTGTAAAAAACAGTACGCGGAGGGGTGCCCGCTATCTTCCGCACTCCATCAGGGGATGGAGGAGAGTGTATTCATATTGGGTAATTGTGAAGGGGAAGGGGGAAGGGGGCGTAAGGGGGGGAGAGGGATCACAAGTGCCTTTCGTGACAAGGTCGCCAAGAAGACGGCCCCGAAAGACGACGCGGCCACCGCAAAGGGCGACGCGAAGACCGCCACGAAGAGCACCGCCAGAGACGCGACCAAGGTGGACGACGACGTCGGCGACAGCCAGCGCAATGAAGACGACGGGGAGGAGGAGGAGGAGGAGGAGGAGGAGAAGGAGGAGGAGGAAGAGGAGGAAGAAGAAGAGGAGGAGGAGGAGGAAGAGGAGAAAGAGGAAGACGATGATGACGGCGAAAGACGAGGCGAGGACCCGCCCGAGAGGCGGCCCGGAAGGACGCCCCGAAGGACGCCCCGAGGGACGGCCCGAAGGACGGCCCGAAGGACGCTCCCAAGGAGCCCCCGGAGCCCGCCCCGAAGGCCGCCTCCGACGACGAGTCTCCCGGGGGATGACAGGAGGACCCCTGAGGCACTCCTCCTCCTCCTCCTCCTCCTCCTCCTCCTCCTCCTCCTCCTCCTCGCTCCTCCTCCTCCTCCTCTGCCCCTCCTCCTCCTCCTCCTCCTCCTCCTCCTCCTCCTTCTCTCCTCCTCCTCCTCCTCCTCCTCATCCTCCTCCTCCTCATCCTCCTCATCCTCCTCTCCTCTCTCCTCTCCCTCCTCCCTCCTCCCCTCCTCCCTCCTCCCTCCTCCTCCTCCTCCTCCTCCTCCTCCTCCTCCTCCTCCTCCTCCTCCACCTCCACCTCCACCTCTTCCTCAGCTCTTTTTCCTTATTCCCCAATCAGTGCTTGCACTGAAGGGATCCTCGCGGAATTTGAAAGATTTGGCGAAAGTTTCCCGCCGATTTTGGTAGCAGGCTGGGTTCCCGGGTTCCCCGTCATTGGTTCCGGGGCGATTTCGGTGGGTTTGGGTTTCCTGGGCTCCCGGGTTCCCGGTCGATCTCTTCAGCGAAAACCATCCACTGATTGGGTTTTTCTTCGGGTGTAATAAGCAACTCCTCCCTGTCGCACCCCCTGAGAATTTTTCACTATTTATGACCCTGAATCTTGAACGTTGGCAACAGTTTCGCACATGGAGGGCGGGTGGTTTTCAAAAGGTGGTTCTCGCTTCAGCGCCGCGCACATGCGTTTTCAAAATTTGCAACAGCTTCACGGATTGAGGGCGGGCGGTTTTCAACGTGTGCCTCTCGCCTTGGCGCTGCGCATTTTCGTTTTAAGCATTTGCAAGAGATTCACGGATTGATGGCGACTCGTTTTCAAAATGTGGTTCTCGCCTTCGCGCCGCGCTCAGTCGGTTTAAACAATTTCAGAAAGTTCACGGGGTGATTCGTTTTTCAAATGTGGTTCTTGCTTCAGCGCCGCGCACAAATTGCAAGACTTTCACGGATCCCAGTGGTCAACGTACCATACAGGGTGTTTTGGAAGGACTCAGGATTGTGAGGGTGCAACAGTTACGTTGAGTCGCGGTGTTGACGACCCAGGAATGGTGTTCTGGCAAGATTCAGGATCGTCAAGACGCAACAGTCTGGTTGATCCGGGGCTTTGGAATCCCGAGAATGGTGTTCTGGTATGCGTCATGGTCTTCATATTGTTGTCTCCCAGCGAGGCAGTTCCCGCAATGGAAATGAACCCTTGTAGGGCCCTATGAAGAGGGACTTCGGAGTGAGGGTTTATTCCGACATCGCTGATGACTCTTTAGTTTGCACTGGTCCTCTTCCTCCTCCTCCGTCGTGAGAGCGCACGCCGGGAGAGGTTCTGGGAGTACTGGAAGCGGCTGCCCAGAGACCTAGATATCCGACTGCATGATTTTCTCAATCCCGAGCGGTTTCCCTCGACTTCGGCCTTGGGGGCCGGTCAGCGGGCCCCAGGGCCATCCAAAATCAATCCGCGGCGCAACAGCTACACCCGGGAAGGGGGTCGGGACTTCCCGGTGGGCTGCGCATGGGAAAGAAGCAGATCGGAGATCGTCGGATGCCTGGCCAGGCGGCGAATGCACGACTGGCCTCCGGAGCCTGAACTCGGGCACGCGCGCACACAAGGGTTGCATGCTCTGAGTGTACCTCCGCCGCCCACGGCCGACGACGACGACGCCTTCGACGACGACGTCCTCCTCCTCCTCCTCCTCCTGCTCCTCGTCCTGCTCCTCCCCCACCATCTCCTGCCCCTCCTCCTCCTCCTCCTCCGCCTCCTCCTCCTCCTCCTCCTCCTCCTCCTCCTGCTCCTCCCCCACCATCTCCTCCCCCACCATCTCCTCCCCCTCCTCCTCCTCCTGCTCCTCCTGCTCCTCCTCTCTCCTCCTCCTCCTTCCTCCTCCTCCCTCTCCCTCCTCCTCCTCCTCCTCCCCCTCCTCCCCCCCTCCTCCTCCTCCTCCTCCTCCTTCCTCCTCCTCCTCCTCCTTCTCCTCCTCCTCCTCCTCCTCCTCCTCCTCCTCCTCCTCCTCCTCCTCCTCCTCCTCCTCCTCCTCCTCCTCCTCCTCCTCCTCCTCCTCCTCCCCCTCCTCCTCCCCCTCCTAGCCCTTTTGTCTCAGGTCATTTTGGCCGAGCTTGTCGACAGCGAAATTCAGAAGGGCGCTGCTGTCGCGAGTCAGTGGCTCTCGGCCCTCAGATCACGACGAAGCCATGTCGCCCTGGTCCAGCAGGCCAGCACCCCACCGTGTCGTCAAATGGAAGCGCCCCTGCGGCTGCGCCACAAATCTTTCGAGCTGGTGGTACTGCAAGCATTGTAAGGAGCAGTGGAACCTTAAGACGTGTGTTGAAGTTTCTCCTGCTGCTCTCCGTGCTGACGACGGTGACGACGCCTGGCAGTCGTGGGACAAGGTGGCCCTAGCCCCAGCGGGTCAGCAGCCTGGCCCCCCGCTTCCACCTGGCGCAGTCGGCGCTGGAAGAGGTTCGCGCCCAGGAGTCATCAACACGGACGGGATCAGCATTGAGGACTTCATCTCTCTGGCTGCGATCGCGACGCGCCAGAGACAGGGTGCTCTTGCCAAGCAGCACGACGCGGCTCGTGAGAAGCTGGTGCAGCAAGCCAAGGCAAAGGTCCAGCCCCCCGTCTCTCTTCATACTCGGGCCTCGCAGGCTCAGTCCAAGATCAGGAGCGTGGAGAAGCGCCTCGACAAAGAGCTTTCAAAATTGGAGCGCCGGCGTGCAGACGTCCTCGCCCCGGAGAGCACCATCCAAGAGATATCTGACGAGATGGACGCGCTGGAGAAGAAATGCCTGGAGCTGGTGTCGCAGATCAGCATGGTGGTCCAGCCGCCTGCCCCGAAGAAGGACTCAGGTCCGAAAGGCCCGTCCATCAGTCTCCGCGACCTGGTTGAAGCTGAGGAGGTCAACTTCATTCTGGAGGATGACCTGCTGGAGGACCTGCCCAAAGAGTGCGAGATGTCGCCACAGGACAGGGAGCAGCTGGAGACTCGCAAGATGTTGCTCCAGAGCGGGCTCAAGGATATGGCGAAGAACCTCTTCGGCGCGGCTTCCGAGCACTTCCGGGCCGCTCGCAAGGAGCACAAGGATCACCTCACTCGTATGCCCAAGAAGAAGCGTAAGAACGAAGATGGGGCAGCAGTACCTGGTGATGATCCTGGAGCTGCTGGGGGATAGCATCCTGAAGCTGGAGCTGATGGAGATGGCCTCCGTGGTAGTGGAGTCGCCGCGCCGCCTCCTGAGGCTGCAGGTGGAGCCTCAGCTGCCTCTGTTGCTTCTGCCTCCGCTGGCCCTGCAAGTGCTGCTCCTGCGGCCAGCGTTCGGCTCGGGGGCAGACCCAGAGCTGCGTGCCAGGCTGGCCAGAGCCTCGCGCAAGACGGAGGCCTCCTTTCAGCCCCCCCGCCCACCTCGGCCTGGGGAGGCGGGGGGAAGCGCCAGCATCGCGGGAGGCCCCCCCCCCCGCCCCCTCGGATTCTCATGGTGGATTCGCAGCTCAAGCTACCTCGTCTGCTACCTCCTGCAGGGAGGCTAGGTTTTGTCAGCCGGGGCATAGCTCAAGGCCAGGTTCTGGAGAAGTCATTTTTTTCAGTATCTCTCGGGCCCAGGAGTTTCAGGCCCAGGTCCCAGGCCAGAAAGCGATAATATCGAGCTCGTGATCACCACTGCTAACTGCAACAGCTGGGGTACGCTGCGATACTGGTTGCCTTCGGCTGGACCCCCACGCGTAATTTTATTGCATGAGCATCAATTCGTGGATGATGAATACATGGGCCGCGCCTCGAAGTTTTGCTTTGATCCTGGTTGTAAGAGTCTCTGGGCGCCCGCTACACGCACGCCTGAGGAGGGGCTCGCCTGGCGGGCGGCCATCCCGGCCAAGAACTTCTTGGGGCATCAGCAGCCGAACCAATATTCAGGACGTGATTAGGGCGCGATTGCTCATCATCCTGGAGGCGGTCAGTTCTCCCTGGTTTCGGTTTACTGTTTCGACACGGAAGGCGTGACAGATAGGCAGCTCGACTTATTGAAGTCAGTTGGCACTTTTTCGTCTCTTGAAGGAACGGTTTACGATGCAGCAGGAGACTTCGACATGGGGCCGGCGGTTGTCTCGGACGCGGGCCTGCCCGAGAAATGTCACGGGGAAAGTGTGAACACTGGTGCGCCCGCTTGTTTTGGATCGGAGCAGCCGGAGCATGATTACTTTCTTGTGTCAGGTGGCCTCGCCCGCGGAGTTAAGTTCAGTAGGAGATGCGGCGACGGGGAGTTCTCGCCGCACTGTGCAGCGGCCCTCGGCTTTCATCCTGTTCTCTGCCGTTTACAAGCTTTGGGTTTCAGGACCCCCCTTTCCTGCCGAAGCTCCTCCAGGGGTGGGCACTCCTCCTGGTGACATCCGTCGGGCTGAGGACTTTCTGGAGATGGGTGGGGCGGCTCTCTAATCCCAGGACGCCTTGCGAGGTTTCCAGACTCATCAGCAAGGCTTATCATTCTTGTTCTAACCTCTCGGAGCACGAGCTTGTCATGGCGGTGGCGGCGGTGGTGGTGGGGCGGGGCGGGGTGGGGGGGATCTGGCTCGTCGCGGGGCTCGCGGAAAGGGCCTTCAGATTGTCTGGAAGCCGATCCTTCAGGAAGACTTCAAGCAATGCGGGTGCCCGGAGCTGCGAGCGACGAGGTGGCTGCGTGCTCGTTTAAAGGCCATCGTGCAGCTGATGCCCATAGATAGATCGTCGCAGGTGCTGCTCCGCCCGAATCTCGCCGCATGGTCAGTGATCTGACCGATGCAGTCAGCCAGTCAGAGTGGGCCCCTCAGAAGCTGGACCATTTTGAAAACAAGCCACACCTTCAAGCTAGCAGGGGCCTGCTCAAGGACTGGGAAGTTTCAACTCTCATCCCCGCGTTGAGCTCGACGCCACTTCGAAATTTTTTTTTGCCGGGACCCCCTGCCTCAGTCGAGGAGCAGAATCAGGTGCATGTAGCGGGTGATCTTTCCCTTGGAGGGCTGGAAGGC